TGAGAGAGAAATATGAAGGAGAGAGAGAAAGAGTGAGGGAGTAGGATAGAGGGAGCAACTGATTAAGAAATAAAGTCCAAAAAGAAAGCATAGCAGAAATATTAGATGGAAGAGTGAGTGATACAATGGGGAGAAACAGAAAGGAGAGAAAAAAGAGAAAATGAGAGAGAGCGAGAGAGAGAGAGAGATACTAAGAAATAAAGTCTAAAAAGTAGAAATATTAGATGGACAAGAGAGTGATCTGATGGGACATACAAAAGGGAGAGAAAGTATGAGAATGAAAAAGAGGGGAATAAGGCAGGGAGAGAGAAAGAGAGAGAGATGAATGGATAATGTAATGCTGAGGCATTAGGATAATGGGAAACCATGAAATAGGAACGAGAGAGGAATGCTGAAGGAAAAGAGAGAGAGAGAATCAGAGAGAAAGCTGGAAAAGAGAAGGAGGAGGCAGAGTGGGAGAGAAAGATGGCGAAGAGAGAAAAAGATAGAGGGAGGTGGAGTAAGATTGAAAGAAGGTGAAGAGGGAAAATAGAGACATGTAGAGAAAGAAAAGAAGGAAAGGATGTAGAGTGGGAGAGAAAGATATAGAAGAGAGAGAGGAAAGAGAGTGAGAGAAAGACAGCAATAGTGAAGGAGAAAGACAGCAAGACAGGGAGAGTGAGAGAGAAAGATGGAGAACAGGGAAGGAGGGAGTGTCAGAAAGACAGAGAAAGGTGAGAGAGAGACAGAAAAGAGGGACAGAGGGAGAAGAGAGCAAAAGACAAAGAGATAAGAGGGGGAAAGAGTAAGAGAGAAAGATGGAACGAGAGAGAGAGAGGGAGGGATGGAGAGTAAAAGAAGTGGAGAGGAAGGAAGGAGGGAGATTCCAAGAGAAAGAGAAAGAGGAATACAAAGAGAAGTGAGAGTAAGAGAGAAGGATGGAGAAGAGAGAGAGGGAAGGAGGGAAGGAGAGAGGCAGAAGGGGACAGAGTGAAAGTGAAAGAGATGAGGGAGAGAAAGGCAGAGAAAAACAGAGAAAGGGAGTGAGAGAGAGAGAGAGAGAGAGAGAGAGAGAGAGTCAAAATCAGCCCGAGCTAAACAGCTTGAAGTGACAAGAATGTGAGAGAGAGACCTGAGCAGAATATGAATGAATGTAGAGACTGAGAAACTGAGGCAAAAAAAAAAGCTGCAGTCTTCTTCTTCTCCTTCTTCATCTTTGGAACCCAGAGCATTTTTCCATGCAAGTAGCGTTTCCATCTGAACTCTCCTGCTCTCCTCCACCTCTCCTCCCCTCCATCTTCAGTGTACCAATTAGTCACCTTGTGTCAGAGCTCGAAACAGCCCTTTCACACACTTTATTTATTCAGCAGGTGAAGCCCCACGAACAGCTGCCAGGGTTACAGGAGATGAAAAGGCACCAACAAACAGCTGCCAGGGTTATGGGGGAGCAAAAAAGAGCCTGATTCGGCAAAAAAGAGGACAGAGGAATGACAAGAGTGGTCAGCAAGAGAAGACAGGAGTGAGTCAGCACAGAGCGGAAAAATGGTGGGAAAAGGGAAGGATGTAAACTGAAAATGGGAGAGAAATGTCCGTGCTAATCCAAAAGCCCAGGCTTTTGTATGAGGCATTGGCGAGCGCTTTCTCCTTCTCTCATCCATTGATGAAGTGCAGCCCTCTGGGCGATGGAAAGCAGCCAGAACTGCAGTCCTGGGTGTATGGCTCAGAGTGGGGAGAGCCAGAACAGGTCTTACTGTTTCCACTGATGCACATATTTTTGGGGGACTCGGACAGGCTTTTGGCTCCAGCTCAGTACAGTAACGTGAATCTATGCACGATGCAACATTACACCCCACATCAATATAATAAAGCGTCTCAGAAGTACTGTGACTAAAACTGGCATAAACAACAGATTAGCTCTGTCTGTTTCAGTACAGATCTAGGATCTGTTCCCATGACTAAGACTGGAAATAAACAATTGAGAACAGCCTGTTTCGATATGTAAAGTGTCTCAAAAAAGCACTGATCTAGGATGATGCTTGGACTTAAACTGGCATAAACAAAGAGAGAGCTATAATTTCAGATCAGACTGTTTAAGTGCTCATGTAGAGTCTCATAAACACTGATCAACGATCTGTTACTGTGAATAATGTTGGTATAAACAAGGGAGGACTGTGATTTCAGATCAGACTGTTTTAGTACTTAAACAGTCTCAGAAATATTGATCTATGATCTGTTACTGTGTCTAAAACTGGAAATAAATAATGCCACATCCTGATGATCCTTGTGGAAATTCCATCAGAATAACAATTGGAAAATCCAGTTGCAATCGGTTAAAAACATTGGTAAAAACCAACATGTAATGTATCCTAAAAACGCTGATCCAGGATCTGTTACTGTGACTAACATTGCCATAAACAGAAGATTATCTCATTATCTAATGAGAAAGCTGGCTTCTTCTTAAATCTAGTCCTTCAGAGTCATGCACAGAGACAGAGACAGACACGTTTTAGCTGGTAGTAAAACCTGTATTCATGTTTGCAAGGCAGTATTTGTTACAGAAGCCCAAACTCTTACTGTAAAAAGGTTTACACGCATCTTCGCGCAGTGCGCATGTGTAAATGTCAAACTATAAATATTTGAGAGTTGCTAAGTAACCTCTGCAACCACCTGCGGTACATGAACGAATCGACTTAAAAATAGATGGAAGCTAGCTGAGCTGTCACTGAACTCCCAATATGTGCTGTCTAAAGAACGAAATGATTGAATTATTCGGTTCAGACGGGGCTTATGATGAAGAATTCTGCTGCACGCCTATTAAAAGTGGTTTAACAAGCTTTATGTCAGAGCTCCGTGTTAAAATATGTGACGACTTCTGCACTGCGTGAGTGGAGACTGACTGAAAGGCACATTCAAAACAAAGGGAGCTGTTCGCCACCCTGTGGTCATTATTTGGAACTGCAGGAGTCGCAGAACCGTACAGGCTGCACGTTGGGTGGAGCAACGTCCATTCTCATGCTTGGATTGGTAGGTGGAAGGGGCTACACGGGTGATCCCGCCCATGACCGTAGCCCATCTGTTGTCAATGTATCAGTCACCTTCTAACCCATTCATCACTGGTCAGTTTCTCACCAAAGGTGACCAGATATTATTCAAGTGCAGCTCAGAAGAATTAAATGGTAGTGTATGGCACTGGTGTATCAGGCACAGCAGTGTTGTTGGGGTTTTTACACGTCAGTCTCACTGCTAGGTTGCACCCAAAAATGTATAGCCAAGAGCAGCTCTGTGGTCAAAAACTGACCATTGATGAAGGGCTGTGCGTCAAGAGATGGGCTACAGTGTGCATCAACAGCATGGTGGACTTACACGGTTGTTTTAAGTGCCGTCAAGTCAGTTCAGGCTCCCAGTGTCAATGGGGACAGTATTTCTCTAGAATATCCTGTCTTCTGTTTGGGTCTTCAGGTTTCTTAATGGTTTGTTCATGATATCTCTGTGTCCATCTCATTTCTGGTGGTTCCTGTTTCAAGCATATCTGTCTTTTTGTCTGAGCTTAGCGTGAAAGGTGAGGATTGATTTGGTCAAGAATCAGTTTGTTTTCTTTGTCGTCCTAGGTACTCTCAAAAGTCTTCGTCAACACCAAAGCTCAAAGGCATCAATGTTTTTCTCGTCCCACTTTTTTACTGTCCAGCCTTCACATACCTGAATAACCACAAAGAATACTCATTTGGAGAGACAGATCATTAAGTATGAAGGTCTTTTCAAGTCCCAATCTGTGTCATATTTCTTGACTGCTGGATCCTTTGTTGTGAATAACTGATCTAAGTAAACAAAATCTGTCCACCATTTCTACATCTTCAGCATCAATTTTAAAGAGAGTGGTCTTTCCTGCTGTAGAAACCTTTGTATTCTTCATATTGAGATGAAGTCCTATGTTTTCACTCTGTTTATTAACCTAGGGGGTTAGCCTAGGGGTTCTAATAAAACGACCAGTGTGCATTGGTTTGAATAAAATTCCTATATCAAATACAGTGATCCAAAGTCAATTTCAGTCAAGATTGATTAGTTTCTGTAACTTACTAATCACAGGCTTATAAACCGCCAGAAAATCAAGAGATAAAGTAGATAACATGAAAATCTATTAAATTAGATGCATCTTTAATATATCATATGCTCTGATCCCTTTAATGATTGAAGTGAAAATAAACTTATAATTTACAGCACAATAAAAACACAAAATTAAGTCAGCTAAACTTCATACTGTACCAGTGTTTTGGTTGCCATAGAAGACCAAGATGCTACACTATGGAGGAACATAGTGTAGCATCTCATTTTGTTTACCTGGTAACGGTTTCTGGTTTTGTGGTTTTCTGGTATCATGCTCAGCATGTTTAAAATACTGTTTTCCAACTGTCAAACGCAGTTTCACTATTGTGACTGTTTTCAGACTGTTCTATGCGGTTTCACTATCGTGGCCTTTCAAGCATTGTGCTGAGGTTGGAGGGACACTGCTTTTGTTTTGGTCGGGGACAATGACCCAGTGCCCTTCTGTATTTGGCACCTGTGTCAGTGAGTCTATTATTTTGTTCTTTACTGCCTGTTGGAGTTGGAGACCATTGGTCTGAACTGTACTGTGTAGCACTAAATAGTGCCACTGCTTAGCTTTTAATCAAACAAATGTAGTGTAGTAAATTATTTGAGCATTTACTAATCAACATTTAGCGACACCCAACACCAAGTCCTGCGCACTTTCAGCCTTCACTGAGGGGTATTTAGCTAAATGTGCAGTTTTTACACTCTTATTAATCTACAATTTTCCACATTATGCTTCTGCAATACGCTTAACACTTCTTCACATTAAGAAATCAAAATACAGTTTCAGGGTGACAACAATTAAAACAGAAAATCAAACCATGTTTGAACATTTTTAAAATTCAAACATACAGTAAAGATCTCAGCAGCAATTAGTCAGCAATTAGTGTAATTCTCCTGAATTTGAGAGACACATGAAAATAGCAGCTACAGATTGGCATAATGCACAGTAATGGAGCCAACAACCTGGAAAGCAAGCTGCAATAACAGGCCTACAGCAGGGGGGCCTCCGTCCTGGAGGGCTGGAGTCTAGTGTGGCTTGAATATATTTTCCTGCTCTAACAAATCCACTTTTAACTCATCAACTAATGATGGGCTAATAGGTTTAGTAGGTGTTGGAGCAGTGAAATCCCCGTACTGTCCTGGACACCAGCTCTTCAGGGCTGCAACAAATGTTCTCTCCATGCTCAAATGCTTTCTTTACAGAATGGTGGCAAAAATTCTATTCAACCTCATGAAAAGTTGTGGTGCACAACTAAAAATACCTAAATATTGAGTGAGTTAGAATTTCAAATGAAACGTATTTTGTGAGTTGGTGAAAGGTCACGCTGTTAGGATAGATCAGATGATTTTTTTTTCTTGTGTAATCAAGCTAGCGTTAGCAATGGCTTGCATAGTTTTAACTAGCTACAACAGCACAGTTTTGCTCAGCATTTAAAACTGAGCTCTGTCTCGACCTTGTCTTGGTCTCAACTATTATTTTGACTCATTTTTAGCATTACTGAGTCAGGAGAAAAAACAAGCTAAAATATGATGTGTGTGCACTGCAGTGAGTCACCATGTAAGGCCTGAAATATAAAAATAATAAACAGAGGTGTTGGCTAGGATTTTGCAGGAGTTTTTAGACCATGTCATGCATCTTTACATATTAAAGAACATCCAGTGTGGAGTGTAACTATACATCCCCTTCCTGATCTTACTTCCCTTGGTTTCTGGTCACAATGCTATTGGATAAATCATATGTCAGAGCCTTCAATTAACAGTTCTGGGTGGAAACTCAAGTTTTGACTGAGTTCTCTTTGAATACACAACCGACGTTACAAAATGTTCTTCTGCATGTTGCATGCAATTACACATTACACCTCCAGAGAGGTCTCCAAATCCCCAGATCTTACATAGTGCATCTTTAGGCTTCATGTCTATTTTATGCTCCTTGTCTCTAGAAGCATGTCCATGGTTTTAAATATAAAACAAGCTTGTGTTAACCTAATATTTGCTGTTAGTACATTATGTTTAGTGATACACATCACAAAGTAAGTTAGCCTAATGTGAGGATATTGGCCTTTTCTTTTTTCTCATTCTTTTAAAGATTGTTGTGGTATGCCATTACCATTATCTGCTTCTAAAAGTCAGTATGTTGAGCTGAATTAACATTGATAGGCTAATTTTTTTATACTATTTATTAATTATTGGTTTGTTGTTATAATATCCCTCATGTATAAAGAATGTAAAATGTTTTTTTTTGTCTTGACTCTAACGGCCTAATGGAACACTACTGAAAACTCAGTGTTATGTAGTGACTCAATGTGTGCTACCCTTTTTCATTAGGTTGAAAGGGGTTTTTGCTAATGTCCTTTAAAGCTTGTCCAACCTCACAACAGTTGCTTAGAAAGAGTGCATGTATGGGCAGAGCATGGATAGATCAATTGGGCCCCCCTGACCTGCAATGAATGTAATGAAAGACGGATGAAGAGTGGTCTTGATTCCCCGCTCAGTGTGGGGTTCCTACAGGCAGCCGTGGCAGACACACATAGGCCTGCGGATACTGATTCACATCCACAGGGTTGCCATCCAACCTGATGTCTTCCAGAGCCTTGCGGATGTAGTTCATGTCGTGGCTGTTGCAGAAGGTGTCCTGGTTCAAGCTCTGGATGTTGTTGTTCTGGTGGTGAGGCAAGAGGAAGACGATTATTACGTTAAGCAGGAAATTCAACAGGGTTACAGAACGTGGGTGTAGCTGGCTTTTTCTTAGATTGGATAAAGACCTCTTTTTACTGGTTTCACACAGCAGCAGGATGTTGCCCTTAAGCAGGATACTGATTGCAAACTGTAGAATGGCCTATTGCTGCAGCTCATAAAATAACATTTTGTACTTTTACTAGCAGTCACTAACATTCATTTGTACTGATATTTCATTAAAATTTGATAGAAAGTGTTACTGCTCTAATTGCACTAGGTCTGGCAGCTGCCCAAGATTTGTGGGCAGAACTTGGCCTGTGAAATCTGTGCGGTTAACAAAATTAAATGATTAATTGTTAGTGTAATGTGCCAATAGAAAATAGATCAGAAACAGCAGACATTGTTGTTGCATTTAGCCAGCTGGCCACATGTGCATAGACCAAAAAAAAAGGAAAAAATACAAAACAGAAGAAAATGCTGCCTGCCCAATGCACTGACAACTAGATCTTAGATACCTCGCATAGTTAGATCAGTATCATTTTTACACTGTGATAATGAACAAGTCATGTGGCAGCATTTTACTGTCAAAGGCAGTATTTTAAGAACATAACATGTCCAAGGATTTTTCATGTTTTTAACACAGCATGTTGTCAAATTTTTTCTCCAACTTTTTTGTTTAGCTTTGTTGACAACACACTAAATCCAGTTAGCTGAACTAGATTTTACAGTGTTAAGTAGTAGTAAGTAGTAGTAAGAGTGCCAGCCAGCATACTGTTTTTTGGCTCATGCTGCATTAAATTTGATCGGATTTGTAGTTCTTTGTTCTTAAAAACATTGCAAGCTATTTCAATATATCGAATGGTGCATGTTTTCTGGGCCATCACTGGGCAATGCAGTTCTAAAGCAGATTCTAGCTTTTTTCTAAATTCAAAACTAGAAAATCACACTTTCTAGAATATCTGCATTCATGAAATTTTACATGTTCATTCCTAACCCTATTCTGAAGGATATTTCCAAAGGATTTCTGAATATAAAGCTAAATAGTTGGATTTATGCTAGATTTCATACTAAAATTACCTGCATATTTAAGATAATGTATGTTTTTAGAGAATGTCAAATACAAATAAAATACTTATTGCAGTAATCAGGTGAAAGTTGTAAGATGTGTTGTTTTAAAAAATTATCCTATTGACTCTGTAGCGTCTCGCCTTAAGAGCGTGTAATTTTTTACAGTGTTGCTACTTTGGATCTACTGATAGAACAATGGACAATGCAAGAGACTGGAACCTGCAGGTGAAGCACCCGTAGACTCTCGGGCAGCGGACCAGGGATGTAGTCTAACTGGTTGCCTGACAGGTACAGGAACTGCAAGTCTTTCATATCCTGTTGAGGAATTCAGAAAGTAGGGTAAAGGAAGTGAGATAACGCACAGCGTGTTTCAACTGTGGTCGAAGTGTAATGTAACTTTTGTGTTGATTTAAAGTCAGTAAGGCTGGTCTTGTATTGAGATAGCCTCTATGGAAGCAGAGCTAGAGTTGCCAGTTTATTAAAGACATTCTGTTAGGGGCCAACACTCATTGGGCATCTTATCAGAAACATCTACAATACAGGTGCACTTGAAATAAGGGTGCACTAAGAATTACAAGGTTCTGTCTGCGTTTAGTCCAGTTTTGAGACATTCAGGATCAAAGATTTAATGTTCACATTAGCAATACTCTTTTTGTATCCTAGCAGTCATTTTTATAGTTCTACAGTTACAGATTGTAGTCCATCTGTTACTCTGCATACTTTGTTAAACCCCTTTCTTCAATGGTCAGGACCCCTAAAGGACCACCACAGAGCAGGTATTATGAGCAGGTATTATTTGGGTGGTGGGTCATTCTCAGCATTGTAGTGACAGTCCAGCAGTGACTCTGAGGTGTTTAAGAACTCTAGCAGCACTGATGTGTCTGATCCACTTGTACCAGAATAACACACACTAACACACCACCACCACGTCAGTGTCACTGCTGTGCTGAGAATGATCCACCACCCAAATAGTACCTGCTCTGCGGTGGTCCTGTGGGGGTCCTGACCACTGAAGAACAGGGCAAAAGGGGCAAACAAGGTATGCAGAGAAACAGATGGACTACAGTCTGTAATTGTAGAACTATAAAAATGACTGCAGTGCATGTATATAGTAAGTGGAGCTGATAAAATGGGCAATAAGTGTAGAAACAAGAGGGTCTTCCTAATAATGTGCTCAGTGAATGGATATATTTACTGTAGCACATCAACATTAGAAATATTCTAATCTGTTCTGCATATACACTAACGCTGGCTACATAAGGAAGGTAGGTTAACTGTAGTATTTAATTTGCAACTAATAACCTCCAAAGATATGCCAGTATCAGCTTACCAATGACCGACACTCAAATTCAGCTTTTAGTTAGTTAGTTCTCTGTTTTGTATTCTATTTTGCTTCCAAGCTGACTAGCGAACACTAGCAATTACTAGCTATATTAATGCTTCTAACATAAATAAAGCCATATTTTGTTGTCAGTTTTACTACCCTTTCAAGTTCACTTTTGCTACTTCGATTTCTTACTAAATTCTTTGAAATAAGAGTGCAGTTATTCCATATTCAGCTGCACTGACTGGGCTACAGAATATTTTAATGGCAACTTAGCATGGCATTAAACAAACAACACTACATCATTAACAATATGCACATAAACCATTTTCAGTAAAAATGTCAGATGTAACTTTATAATTCAAAGCCCAAGAATTACTAAGCATAGCCCATCTGTTGCTGCATAATTTATCAGCCCTATCCATCAGTGAAAAGCGACACCATTGGACCTCCACTGACCAGATATTATTTGCATGGTGGATCATTCTCAGCACAGCAGTGACACTTTGTTGCATGTGGTTGGCCTGGTATGAGGGTATAATACACAGCAGTGTTTTAAATACTGGGGTTTTAAAAGTCTGTGTACATGTGTGGAACCCTGTTATATAAGTAATTTAATACAACCACAAAGCATGAAACTACAAAACAGCTATAAACACTTCAGGGTGTTGTCTTTGTAGATTATTTTTGCTTTGTCATCAGATTACTGTTGTATTCCCACAAGGTTTCTTCACCATTCTTTCCACATAAGCAACACTTGCCTTAAAGCCCTCTCTGTGCATTCCAGTACTCTTCAGGCGGTTGTTGCGGATGTCGATGTGCCTCATAGTGGCTGGCAGCCCTGGCAGTGCCTGGACCTTGTTATCAGCCAGAAGCAGTTCCTGGAGCTGTGGAAGAGAGAGGAAGGCTTCTTCTCCTAGCGTGGTGATCTGATTCCCCGTAAGGTCAATCCGTTTCAGCTGATCTGACAACAGAGGAGCAAGAATCAGTGTAGTTTTGAGCCACTGTGTACGTTTTTCTGATATTTTATTTGTGTGGGTTTATTTTTTTTACCTTTAACAGTCATTTTTTATTTTGTATGACCATTTTCCAATCCCTCTTTATCTCAGATTTTTTTTGTTATTTGAGATTGATATATGCACATGACCTCTGTTCTGATTGGCTGCCCTTTATTGTGCCTCGTTCAAAAAGCAGTTCAGGCTAAAACAATCTTTAAATTTCAGTCTGAAGGGGTACTGCTTTATACTGAATAAAAGGATTTACACTAACATTGTTTTTTTGTGACACCACAAAAGGAACAAGTTCAAGGCTGTTTCTGCAGCTTAGTTTCTGTACACAGTCGGTATAGATTGGGTTTGTTTTTAGCCATTAATAGATTATTGCACCTGTTGATAAAGCAAGTGACATTTTATCATTGTGGATACATTTTGTTTGTGGGATGCATTCTTTGATGCATTTTATTGGTATGTTTTTAAATGTTCTCATAATCTTAATACATAATATTTTCTCAAAAACTATGATTATGATATGATTTTGAATGAGAAAATCAATGCAAAAAATGCACCAAAAATTAGTATTTTTTTTATCAATTTTCCCTTAATAGTCAGGAGATAATAATGAGTAATAAGTATTTTTTGCAAATACAATAATAAATGACCTTTTCAATAAGAAATGGATATTATGTTCTTTCTTTCCCAATATTTTTTAATAAAGTGGATGTATTAATGGTTATCTATGATACTCTAGCATTACTGATTAAAATTTGAATAGAAGTTGAATAAAATAACATAATATTTATGAAAATCCAGTTTGCCTGTGTTCCCAAAAGAGTCACTGACATTATGCTTCCCTTGAAAGAGACACTAACATTCTCAAAAAGAACTATCCAAACACACCTTGTATGCAAGAGTTGCCCCACCCACTTTGCGGGTATAATTTTGAACAATACTCAGTACATTTACTCAAGTGAGTTAGATGTTCACATAAGCAGCAGTCCTGGGAAGTGGTTTGAAGTTGGAAGTGAAATATGCATCTGTCTTACTCAAGTTGAGGAAATCTTTGGCCTTGACCTCAGTGATCTTGTTGAAGCGAGCGTAGAAGTGTGTCGTGTCCTTGGGCAGAGGGGGGATCTCAGTTAAATCAGCGTCGTCACAATACACACTGCCACTGATGCACACACACAGCAGGCAAGTGGGCATCCCTGCAGAGGAACAAGACAGTGTAATAACATCTTTCACCACAAGAGGGTGTAAGGGTCACAGTAGATGTGTGGGAGGCAGCAGTGCATTTTGCTGGACAGTTTTCTTGGCCTACTGTGTGATGACAGGCTGCTGAGTGTTTAGTAAGGAACATCTAAATTACTATCAGATGCACCAGAATTTTCAGCCAAGGCCGTTTGGTCTGGATGTGAAATGCTCCCCATAAGCAGCTATGGTTCCACTCACCCAGGCCTGTCTCTGGGCCAAACAGGCCAGGGCCCAGGAAGTCCAGTGTGGGAAGGACTAGAGGTTTGGTGGTCCTTGGTGCAAGGGTCACCTCTTCTGTGTAGTCTTCAGGAACAATTGCAGGAGGTGGTTGAGTGACAGCTGGAAGAGGAGCCACAGTCCCAACCTCAATCTGTAACAGGATTGAGTCATGTTTGTCAGTACTCTTCAAACTGACCTTCTCAATGCACACATCAATAAAGTAAAGCAACATTAAAGTGACACTTAGCAGACACTATCATTTATAAGCCAAGATATGTTTGATAGCCAAAATTAGCTTTTTTAGTTTAGTGCTATTGCTACGAGGCTAATGCAGCTAACAAGCAATTTAAGGTTATCCCACAGATTACTATTCTACAAACTGCATGTCAAAACTGTTATCTATAAACATGAACAAGGGTATGGACAAAACTCAGGCTTTAAGATGGTCACTACTGCTGTTTTTAGCTGTGAAATAGGCTTTGGTCATTTTTTTGATGACAGTGTTACACAGTGTCAGAAACCACTCAAGCAAATCTGTTTGAGATTTCTGAAAAGCTTGATGTGGTTTATGTGAGTGTGTGATAATTCTGGCATGCAGTTTGAATGATGCTAATTTGTGGGGTATAAGCTTCCGTTACTTGTTAGCTAGATTAGCACCAGGCTAGGGCCTGAACTGCATCTTACTGTCTTTGAGTACTTGTACAATAATATTTACATTGAATAACTGACCATACATTTAAGCATGTTTGTTACTGCAGTTCATCTATCTAGTAGGCAGGAGCAGTGTGATAATAGTCTGGCTGAAGCCCATCTGCTCTCGCCCTGCTCTATGATTGATTCCATCCCATTGAAATACAGCTTTTATGAGTCACTTCTACCTTAGTAGAAAGGTAGAAAGGTGTGCCCTACACCAGACATATCTTTGCTGATCAATGACATCTTTGAGGTGAGGGAAAAAAATTGTAAATTAGATTTTTCATTGAACTGTCACTTTAAAGATGTTCCAGTACTGCAGATAGGTGCTGACTAACCAAAGAGAAGAATCTTGCTGTCCACTGCTCATTGTCCAAAACCATCCGTGGAGTGCAAACCTCGGATATTTTCATAATTTAACCTAATTCAATGCCATCTGCCCTCACCTCCTCATCCAAGTCATCATAGTCAAAGGTTTCTCCATAGCTGTTCAGGTCCCATGTGTCTGAGTCCTCGTCATAGTTCTCCAGGTCATAAGCCGCAGGATCAGAGTCAGGTGGAGGAGCTCCCCAACAGGATCCTAGCAGGGCTACAGCTAGAACAGATATGTACAGTGCCATCTGTAGGAAAGAAGAAGAATAACTTTTACCTATAGTGTCTCTGAGTGCTTTCAAATGATAAAAATTTAGTTATTCAGACATTTAGTCTATTACACTGTACTATAATTAATTTATAGTAACTGCAAAGGTATTTAACAGCAGGTACCTTCAACCTGACCTTCACTGTTAAAATGTATGAGAGAATATATACGTTTATGTTTATCTTTATATTCAGTGTTAGCAAATGTATATGTAACATGGCCTTTAAGTCCTCTCACATAGTGATCCTGTTTTTCTGATATCTGATGTGAGGATATCTAGATCTCTCAAAATATTTTCCCCAGCCGACTCACTGTTCCATGTTGGCATTATCTCCTCTTATCCAGGTAATATGATCACTGTTACATTCAGTTGTTACTGTCATGATGAAGGGCTTTTTCCTGAACCCTGCTGAGATGTTACGCCAATGTTTGGCTAACCTTACAAAACCCATTTTCTCTCCAGCTGCTCAGATATGTAACTTGACTAAGGCTTAGGTCACAGCTCAAAAGCGAACACACTTCCTCTACAGGAACTCTCGTGGTTATAGTTTACACAACACCAGAAATGAAAGGAGCTACTAGCACTGGAAAACCAAAACTTGCAAGAGTATATCAATTCATAGAAAGGCATACTATCAGGTCTAATTCAGGGCTGTGTTTGTTGTCTATGTAAAAAAAAATGCTGGCATAAATGAGCATGTGGCTATGTAGAGCACTTTTTTTGTGCACATATTAACCAGAAACATGAGTATTTCCTTGAGGACTAAATAGCAAATAATTACCAGATCTAGCAAAGCAGATCTTTTCAATTCTGAACCCACATTCAGACACAGCCACTGAGTCGTTTCAGCAAACACATGTGAGGGGCCTGAATCCACAAATCGGGCCACATTAGCAAGAAAAAGGAAACTGGATTTCCTTGGAAGGTCATGCTCAGCTGTACCTTGCTGGTTTAGATTTGCATGAAAACCCCTGATTATAAAATAAAGAAAATAGAAAAGCAAATGAACCAGCAACTTAGAAGATACAAGCCAAAATAGAATCAATAGAGTCATTTAAAAAATGATTACTGTAAAGACATTTTTGTACTGTTTTCACTGGTCAATTCATCATATGACATATTCAAAAACTTTACAAATGAATAAATGAATAAATAAATAAAGTCTACACTCATAACAAGTCATAACTACATATCTTAAAAATTATCTTTATTGCAGTTACTTAATAATTCACACTGGTTAGTGAATAATTCCAAATTGTTACTGAATAATTCACAGTGCCTACTGAGTAATTGACGGTAGTTACTGACTGATTCATAGTGCTTACTGAATAATTCCTAGTTGTTCCTGGATAATTCATAGTGCCTAGTAAGTAATTCACAGTAGTTACAGAATGATTCATAGTGCTTACTGAATAATTTCTAGTAGTTACTGGATAATTCCTAGTTGTTCCTGGATAATTCACAGTGCTTACTGAATAATTCCTAGTAGTTACTGACTAAGTCCTAGTTGTTCCTGGATAATTCATAACGGTTACTGAATAATTCCTAGCAGTTACTGAATAATTCATAATGCTTACTGAGTAATTCACAATAATTACTGAATGATTTATTGTGTTTACTGTGTTTCCAAGTAGTTACTGAATAATTTCTAGTAGTTACTGAATATTTCATTGTGGTTCTTGAACAATTTAATTGGTAATGAAATAATTGGTACTGCTTATTGAATAATTCAAAGTGGCTACTGAATAAACCATAATGATTACTGAACAATAAGCCCTAATAATAATAACTGAACAATGAACCTTGAACAATGAGTCTAAGGGCTTAAAGTGAAACATCTAATAAAACATGCTTTACCTCCTAAATCTGAGCAGCTTGTTACATATCTAAGGTACAGCAGTAGAACAGGGCGGTCAAAGCCCTATCTATCTCATAGATTCAGTCTGGCCTTGCTCAACACATCATCACTTTCTCAAGTCAAACCCTGCAAACCTCAGCCTGTCACACTGCACATTACTTAGATAGCACATGGGCCTATTTTATCATGATTAACCCAGCTCCAATAACACCTGCACAAAGATTAATCACTGCACTGCAGAGGGGAAAAATAGACAAAGCCATACCTTCTGTGTTTGTGTGTGGACAGCCGAGGCCTCAGCGTCGATCTGTAGGGATAACCGGTAAGGGTAGCTGGCCTGCGGTTAACAGATTGCCCGAGTCCCAAAGGAATGGCTAGTACAGGGCTAGCAGAGCGAGATAGGCAGGGGTGTTGGCTGGGGAGGGTGGGGGAGAAGGCCAGGTCAGTTCAAATCTGTGTTTGCTCAGCTGTCACTAATTCTGTTGCCTTCTTCCAAGATTTTGGTCACTGCCAGTCGAGCCTGTCTGGATTTGTAATCAACTGCTCTTTAACAGCAGGTGGGATTTAAGCTGTGTGTGGGAAGCATGTTTGTACAGAGGTGCGACACAACAAGGGCTTGCTTTGAAAAATCACAGTAGGGCTTCTGTTGAGGTTAGTTTGGAAAAAGTGCAGTACTTCTGAGAGACTGACTATTCTCCTAGAACTAAATTGCTTAGTTTAAGGAATGTTCTCATTCTAACATGTCTAAGAAGCAACTCAATGATCTGTGTCTAGCCTGGTGGTTCATTGCATAGATGTCCACAAATCAGGCCCATTTCTGTAAGCTTAGAGGCTCTATCTGGCGTCCATTATGTGGGCCCCTCAACCACCCTGATCATGTTATTCTGTATGCAAAAACAAAAAGAATGAATACTTTTAACATACACTGCTAAGCTTTTTCCAATATATTAAATTCAGCAAAGAAACGGCCCTAAAATGCCAGTTTGATGTTTGTTGTGGCTACAAATTAACTGGAGGCATATTTTGTCACTGTCCAAAGAAAAACACATATCTGCTAAAGTAACTTTAGAGAAGATGGCAAAAATTTTGAGGCACCTGAAGAAGTTATGTTTTAAAAGCTAATTAATAAATAAAAACTGCATACTTATTGGACCTCTAGTCATTCTGGGCCCCTGTACGACTGCTCATACTGCTTATTGCAGGGAACAGCCTCACATGCCCTCAGTCCCTCATTTCAAACAGCAGACATAATGTCTACTGTAGGTGTTTCGCTCAATTTCTGGAATCCCCCAGGGCTGAGGTTTCTGACGCTGAGGGCACTTCAGAAACAAGATTTAAAATGAAACTTAATGTCATTTCATGCTGTGGTCCTCTGGGTCTGCGATTTTATTTATGCTGACCACCACTAACAAACTTAGCAGATGATCTTTGACCTGTGACATTTTACTGGCGTCTCACAGCCGGCCCTGTGTCACACAGAGGCTTTGTCTGGTCTGACCTGCGAACACACCCAAGCACACACACTCACGCACAGAGAAAGAGGGAATATCCCACGCTTAGTCAGAAAGAGTCCAAACAGTTCCTTCTCCCACCTCCCTGCTGCTTCTCTCAAAGTCCTCAGCCGCCCTCATTAGCGAAAGTGTTTGGGACTTCAAACATTCCATGGCTAAATGCTCTGTACAGGATCAAGAGGTGAAGAAGGGAAGGAGGAGTGCTTTGCCACTATTTCTTTTTCTTGCACCATTATTATCTGTGGTTTCTTCTTCGATGTGACTCCATAACTCCTAAAAATAAAGGTTTCTCAATAGTTCTTGGCTTGGACAGCACTAGGAAAAATGTTTCATTGGCAAAGAAGCTTTACATTTAGTTCAACCTGAAATAATGTGTTGTTAGTTCATGTCCCTGATCATTTTAAAGAGGTATTCTGGCCTAAAGATTAGAAATTAATATGTAATTTTTCATTTGTAATTTGTCATATTTTGCAAACTATTCTATTACTCTACATCAGTATTATCTCACTACAATACCCAGTATGCATATAGGCCATACAATCCCCAGTGTGATGATAAAATGCACTGATGTAGAGGTTAATAAATACAAATGTGATATCTGGCTATCTGTCTTCTTCAACGCCCAGCTAGTGGGCTTGTTATTTTTTATCAACAACTATTCTGTAACTGCTATGAAAAACTGTAATGCTCTATAATGATCAATGACGTTCACAAGTGGCATTGCAGTACACTAAAGGAAGTGTAGGGGGTGACATGGATTCTTCTTCTGTAGTTTTGTTGCACCTTAAATGATCTTACATGTCACACAGATGGTGTGATGACTGCAGTGGTCCTGCCTACAGAGCTGGTCCCCTTCACGTCACATAATCCAGGATATGTCATTAGGTACTCTTCAGTACTACTATAATCATCTCTTGATGTAACACAAGTTAAAGCACAATGAGTGCAATAGTAGTGTATATTGTGTATATGTGTATATATTTAGAGTCAGTGTTGTATATTTCTTTTTTCTTCTTATATATATATATATATATATATATATATATATATATATATATATATATATATATTTTGTATTTAAATTCTACAAGAGGGCTACGCACCTAAGATTTTCACTCAAATGTGATGTGACAATAAACGTGATTTGATTTGATTTGATTTTAAATGCCCTTTGAGAGCTGCTACATGTCGCGAAGTTCCCCCCCTGAACTGAAATAGGCCTGAAGCTACCTGTCTTCAAGATCTGCTTGTATGATGAGTTTTCACGATTAAATCAGCCATAACTTCTTTAATGCTTAACCGATTTTCAACAAATTTGTTTTGTTATAATCCTCAAACATTTCTGGATGTTGCTGATTATTTAAACATACAATTTATGTGGTGTAATGCAGCTCTGTGTCCAACAAATTGTAAATTTGTCCTTCAAAATTGTAAATAAGGAAGCTGATACAGCCATAAGAAGTGTCTGAGTGAATCAATATTTAGATGCTTACAGGCAGTGATAGGATCTGTCTTGAGCAAAGAGATCAAACACATTATAGTTAACATGTTTATGATCTAGATTTTAAAAATTTGAAGCTTAATGATCAATTAGCTGCCATAAAAATACATATCAGATGTAAATACAATTGTATTTACAGTCCTTTGGTAGAGCTCAGACTCAACTCTATTCAGACAGGATAAGTTCTCCATGGGGAGATGGTTTAACGCCAGTTTACCATAGGACGTCTGTAATATTTATGACCAGTTTGCACGGGATGAGAAGTCTCTGTATATATGACAGAGATGGGAGTGGCTACTCGATTTATGTACTGCATTTACTCCAAAAAACAGAAGGAAACAAATAAAAAACTGATTTAGCCATTCTTCTGTTTACCCTAACCATCTGTCTTTCTGTCTTAAAGTGAATGCACTGTGTCATTATCATCACCATTAGCCTGAATTCATTGTCACGTTCACTGGGTAAAATCAGACTATGAGGTATGGCAGTAACATTACATATCTGCTTGATTTTAGCCACAGATAACACAAGTAAACACTTCGTTGAGTGCCTCTATACTTAAGAAAGTCCTTTTCTACAGAATATGGTAGCATATTACAGACATGTCGATTCACACGGGAATAATAACTGAGTGTTATTTCTACTTCTTGTTTTATAGTAGGTAAAAGGCACCAGAATCTTTACTGGAAGGGGAGCATGCAGTCCGTAAAAAATCTATGTATATCTATGCTGTGCTGTACCCAAATAGTCCCCCACTAGCTAACATCTGATAGCAGCTAATGTAAGCTGTTGTAGCATTTTATACATAGTAGCACTTTGGCAAACCACTTTCTCTCAGAATATAAAAATAAAAAGAAGAAAGGGGAAAAATTGAAATTTGTTTGTAGTTCATTATACATTCATTATCATTTCAAATTTTATTTAATCATGTAGAGCAGTGACTTTCAAGCTGTGGCCCGTTGTGGTAACTGTAAGGGGAGGGGTGCTTAATTTTTGTTATTATTTTTTTCAACCACAAAAATTCATTACAATATAGACATTTAGCCAAACATAACTGTAAATATGACAAATATTGCTGATTATTTGCCAAAATAAATATTTATATCAAGCTCATTGAAGCTCATAGCTTTTATGTTTATATTTTCAGTGCAAGTCAATGTAAAACTTTTTGATTTTCAATCACAAGGAACTCATCCATTATGGATAAACGGTTAAAAGGGTCTTTTCGAAAGGAAAGGTCCTGAGGCTGGGCCATCTACAAATGAAGAGGCCACTGTATCTTAGACTCAGAAAACTAAGTAAGCATAAACTAAAATGAATAAAATATAGCTGTGAGTATCAATCGCTAGGCTAAAGACAGGGCTAAGAGGTTCACTTCAGTTCCTATTTGTTTTGAAATAAACTAACTAGGCTACATTTAAAACAAGTTAAATAAATGTCAGACTTATAGTCTTCACAAATGTCTTTATTGCAAACCTTCCTACCCCACCCCAACCGTACCCCACCCCACCCTGACTGTACCCCACCCCACCCCACCCTACCCCACCCTACCCTACCCCACCCCACACCACCCTACCCCACCCCACACCACCCTACCCCACCCTAATTAATTATATAACTGCTATATGCCTATTCTGTCTATCAGAATGGTTGTTCTGACTCTAATGGCCTGATCCTCTTGATTCTATGCCTCTCTACCACAGGTACATAACCTTGATATTTAGGGGGCAAGATTGTTTGGGCCAGGTAAGGGTGATAGCACTCTCTACAGCTGTTGTTTGCTCTCACTCTCTGTGGGAGAAGGAACCAAACTGGTGATCTATGAACATCTCTGTATAAAGACATCTTGAAATAAATCTAACCTTCTCCTCAGAAGTGCGCGACTCTGTGTAGTTTATTCTCAATAACTTCTATAAACATTGGATCGGAGTGCAGAAATTGGGATAGGGACTGGGACATCCCTAAAAAGAATATGTTAAATAAATGAATGCTGCTTAAGAAATAAAATGAAGTCCACTTTGTAAATAGGTGAAGCTGAGGTACTTTTTATGGAACTTCAAAGAAAACTAGTGATTGACTTTAACACTGTGAGTCTTTTTCAAGATGGTACAACCACAAATAATAACTAAACAGGGGGGAAAATCACATTTTTGCATATTTATACGGTAAATCTAGGTTAGATCAGGCATTCATTTTGTGCTTTAGCAACATTATGATAATGACATGAAAAAAACAATGAATTATAAACAGTTGTCAAGGACAGATCACCATTAATGTATGACCAGGCCAAACACATGCAAACATTTGTCTCTAAAAGCTATCCAGAAGAAGTCCAGATTTAAATAAAGTAACCCAAATAAAACAGAAGATAAAAGAGAATGGCTTTCCTGTCATCTGTCCATT